ATCACCTATTGTATAGATATGATTAGACTAATTCCTTTAACATTTCTGAGCCTCAGTTTCCTTATTTTTAACAAAGTGGTAGCAGTAATACTTGTCTTTGGAGCTGTTGTCTGGATGAGATGAAATAATTAGTGTGAATCAGAAAGGCTAGTATGCATTCTTATTAACAATAACTGTTACAAAAATATTCTGAAATATTTTATATTTAGTAAATTGTATTATTTTCATCTGACTACAGAGAGAGAACATTATACATTTGCAGAAAGTGTTATTAAACTCAAATATTCAAGGTAGAATGAAAGAATGGGAATGGAACCAACATTTCTTGAGTACTCGGCCACAGCGTCAGGAGAAGCCAGACGATAGCGTTATTTTCTAACTCCTACGTGATGTACTTTCTAACTGCTATGTAAGAGACAGGGCCTCGCCATGTTATCACCTCCATAAGAGAAGGTATAGCACCTCTATACCTTTCTGGGTGCTATAAATTGTGGAACAAAGAACAGTTGCTTGAATATAGAGAAACTCTATGTTTTCCTCCACCACCTCATTCCTGTGCCATTTCTCCAAATTTTATCTTCTTACTATATAAACCATTCCTAAGTATATAGCTCACAAGTCTGATGGATGTGGCTCCACACCAAGCTGTGAACTGATTTGCGTATCAGAAGACTGCTATTCAAGTTTGACTCCAGGTGGATTTTTAGCTGAAATGCCATGAGAAAAAAAATGAAAAAAGAAAACCTTCTTCATTATGAATATGAGATAATTAATTTTGAAAAATCATTGCAACCCCAATCCAAGAAGGGGCCACAAGGTTTAATTGTGGGTGTGCTATTTACAGATTAATTAGGACATTTAACTTCATTTTTTATACCACAGAATTAATCTCATAAAAATTAGTGATCTCGAAGGAGTCAGTTGTCAACTCTGACAGGATCTCTTTGCCATAATCTATTCAAATGCTGCTTTTATCTTGTCTTGCCTGTGTCATATTTTATGGATTTTTTCATAAACACTGCCTATACTTCATAAATGTCTCAATTTTCTAGTCTATTAACATTACTTCAAAAGCAATTGATAAAAGAGTAGGGCATGCATGAAATAATACACCAATAATGTGGAGTGTGCTGGAGGCAAGAGCAGTGGGTAGGATCTGCACAGCTTGTGAGCTGAAGCAATGAAAGCATGTTTCATCTACTACAATAAAGAAACAAATGATCATTTTTGATAGTAGAAAAAAGATTGCTAGTAATTGGGCAGATGAAAAATGGGTTACACAGAAAATACAGCATATTTTGAAAATGAAACTGAAATGAGAAAATAAACATCCCCAAGTATTGATTTACATTATGGAGAACCTTTTCCCTTTGGTTACTAAAGATTTGCTATTCAGCTTGATTTTGCTTAGACATGATAGTCTTATTCTATATGTTAACAATATTTCCTTTGTATGTGTATATTTAACGAACCTATTAATATATGTATTGTATGGTATTAGCTACAATAAATATTGAATGTTGAAATTAGTTTTCTTAATCTTTATAATTTTATAATTTTAGTTTTTGCAATCAGTTTAATTTTTCTTTTAATGTATGGGTGATATAAGTCTATAACATCCTCTTTGTATTTTTAAACTACTAATATATGACCTAGGTTGATATAATGAAATGAGAATCTTATCTGGATTTGTACTACAAATATAAATCACAGATATGTAAACAAACTGACTTTTCAAAACATGGTCAGTTATTATGCATTTAAATCAACCAAATGAAAAACAAAGAGGAGAAAGAACATTAAGTAGACACGGAATTCCTGATTTTCCTTTCATTTTATTATTCATATTATACCACCTGATTTAGCTAAATGAAACCAGATACTGTTCTGGACTTTCATTCTAAAGATACCATGCTTTATAAAATGAGTGACCATAGGTCCCAATATGCCTGGGCAGGCTAACGTTTACCTGTAATTATCAATAACTCCTTCTTTCACTCTCAAAATGTACTGGCTTGGATGACAAAGTATATGGTCGCCTATTAAACTATGTGGTCAAATGAATATTGAAAGGGATGTTTTAGTAGTACATTTAATTTCAAATTTCTTTAAACATATGTAGTACTATCTGAAAGAATTAGTGTGATTAAGTGTTAAATTCAGAAAAGTTTATGGTTCTTGATTCACATTCTTCTATTTTCTACTTAGAAACAAGACCATCTTGCTGTCACTCAGGTCAAGAAATGATCTTGAATAACTCCACTATGATTATTCAATTCTAAAACTTGGAAAGTGGATGATTTTTCTCATGCCCTGAGAGGTGGTGATAGAATAGTTGCTGCGTTCTGCTAGTGGTACTCTATGAAGTAAGTAATGTAGTTGAGTAAAGTATAGGACCCAGCATAATGATGCTATACGTGCCTGTGATCTTACAGGGCACAAGAGATCATGATCCAGGAGATTCTTTAGTCCTCAACTGTTGCAAAGAACATTTGAGAGCGCCGGTCCTTGGTACTAACCAAAGGAAACAGTCACGAGCGTTATGTGAGTAATAGCTAGACTTACCATGTGGGGTGAAAGACAATAAACAACATATAGTTTATTAATGTGACCTAATTTCTACCCATCTCTCAAACTCACTTCTTCAATCTTCCTCATCACAGAAAGCATCTTAAATATTCATCCAGTTGCTCAAGCCAAAAACCTGGGGATTTTCCATGTTCCCTCTTTTGTCTACTATATACATCAACAAATTCTGCCACTTCTACTCCTAGAACCCAGTCAGAATCTACCTGCTGGTTTTCATCCCCACCCTTAAAATCCTAGTCCAAGCTACCTTCATCCTTCTCCATGGTTTTACAATAGCTGTGTTATCTGATCTCCCCACTTCTCCTTTCGCCTCCTCCCCTACAATTCATTCTCAACATAGTACTCAAAATGCCCTTTGAAGAATGTAAATCTGCAAAAATTAACAAGTGAGGGGCTGGCCCGGTGGCGCAAGTGGTTAAGTACGCACGGTCTGCTGCGCTGGCCCGGGGTTCGCCTGGTTCGGATCCTGGGCGCCACCAACACACCGCTTGTCAAGCCATGCTGTGGCAGCATCCCGTATAAAGTGGAGGAAGATGGACATGGATGTTAGCCCAGCGCCAGTCTTCCTCAGCAAAAAGAGGAGGACTGGCAGATGTTAGCTCAGGGCTGATCTTCCTCACACACACACACAAAAAATTAACAAGTGAGACTTCATAAAACTGTAAAGCTACTACACAGCATAGGAAGCAATCAACAGAGTGAAAAGGAAAACTATGGAATGGGAGAAAATATTTGCAAAACCATATATCTGATAAGGGGTTAGTTTCCAAAATATATAAGGAACTCCTACAACTCAATTAATAACTAAAAAAAAGCTAAGCAAATCTTAAAAAAAAAAAACTAAGCAAAAAAGCTGATAACTTTCTTTTAAAAATAGTCTAAAGACTTGAATAGACATTTTTCCAAAGAAGATATACAAATGGGTACCAGGTATATTAAAAAATGCTTAACGTCACTAACCATCAGGGAAATGCAAATCAAAACCACAATGAGATGTATCACCTCACATGTATTAAGATGGCCATTATCAAAAACAAAAAAAAACAAAAGACAACAAGTGTTAGCGAGAATATGAAGAAATTAGAACCCTTGTAAACTGTTAGTGGGAGTGCAAAATGGTGCAACTCCTATGGAAAACAGTGTGGAGATTTGTCAGAAAATTAAAAATAGAGCTATCATATGATTCAGCAATCTTATTCTGGGTATTTATCCAAAAGAATGGAAATCAGGATCTTGAAGCGATATTAGTACTCTCATGTTTATTGCAGCACTATTCACAATAGCCAATGCATAGAATCAACCAAAATATCCATTGACAGATGAATGGATAACAAAAATGTGGTATATACATACAGTGGATTATTATACAGCCTTAAAAAAGAAGGAAATTCTCTAATACGTGACAACATGGATGAACCTTGAGGACATCATACTAAGTGAAATAAGTCACTCACAGAAGGACAAATATTACATGATTCCACTTACATAAGATATCTAAAATAGTGAAACCCATTAGAGAGTAGAATGTTGGTTGACGGGGTGGGGTGAGGGAGAAATGGGTTGTTGCTAATCAATAGATGGAAAGTTTCAGTTATACAAGATGAATAAGTTCTAGAGATCTGCTGTGCAACATTATGCCTATAGATAACAATACTGTATTGTACACTTAAAACTATATTAAGAAGTTAGATCTCATATTAGGTGGTCTCACCACAATACAATAAAAATAAAAGTTTTTTTTAAAAAATGTAAATCTGATCACATAATTCAATAGTTTACATTAAATTTAGGATAAAATCCAAGCTCTTCACCGTATGAGCCTTCATGAGCTCTTCATGCCTATGAGCGCTGCATGATAGAATACTGTTCTTCCCCTTCTCCTACCATTCTCTCCCTTTTCACTGTAGTCCAGGCACACTCTCTCTTATTTATGCTCACCCAGCAGGGCAAGCTTATTTTTGGTTGATGTTGCCTCTGCATGCCTGGCTCTTCTTTGTCATCAAAGAGGACAAAGATTATCTTTTATGAGGCCTTTCCTGACTATCCTATCGAGTACTGTTTCAACTCACTGCTCACTCCAGCCCCTGTCTTACTCCTTCTATTTCTAGACCAGCAATGATGACTTGAAGCTAGCTTTCTCGGTGACCTTGGCAAATATCGTTATAGAAGCTGACATTTATTGAACACTTACTATGTATGTGCCAGAACTATTCTAAGGGTTTTATATGAATTGTATTTCTCACAACAATCCTATGAGATAGATGCTATTATTGCTGTCTCTTTTCGGATGAGAAAACCAAAGCACAGAAAGGATAAAAAACTCAGTAGAAAGTGGCAGAACCAAAATTTGAACCCAGATTTTCTGGCTCTTTACCACTTCACTGTGCTGCTTTCTTTGTAGTAGCGTGAATCATGCCATGTAGTCAGGAGAGTCCTTCTGGGGTTTGAAGGCCAACATGAATTCAGAAAAGATAAAACCAGGTCAGCACTCGAGGACAAAGACCAGAAACAGCATAGGCGAACCACGACTACTCAGTGTGGACAGAGCCAATGCCAAGCCTGGCACCAGCCAAGATGCAAAGCTGAGTCAACTGGTGAGCCGTCGAGTGAGTGCGGGTAGGAGGATGAAACAGGCAGGTGTGCAGGCTGCCCATGTACTGAGCTTTTGTTTGTTTGTGTTCCTGCATCTCACTGGCCATTTCTTCTCTGTCTCCTTTGCAGGCTTATCCTCTCTACCTTCTGTGAGTTCAGTTCTAGGCCCTCTTTTCATGCTGTACTTCCTTCGTAAGTAATCTCATCCATACATATGACCTCACTCACCACCTATGTATATACAAATAACTCACAAATTTATATCTTTGGTCTAGATAATTCCTCAGAGATCCTGACTCTTATAACTAACTGCTATTTTGCCGTCTTTTCATAAATGTCTCAAGAGAAATCAAACATAGCAAGCCCAAATCACAATTCATGATTTGTCCCTTAAACCTTGGCCTCTCCCAGTGTCCCTAAGTCAGTGATGGATAAACACAAAATCTTGGTGACATCCTTCAACTCTTCCTTTCCCTTACCCTCTTTTTTCATATCCACGTGTGATAGGACATCAAGTGATCTTCTTTCTAAGTATCTCTGGAATCTATTCACTTGTTGCCATCTCTGCCCCTTAGTCCAACCTTCCATCATCACTCAGCCAGACTGTTCTAGCAGCCTCCTCACTGGTCTTGATATCAACTCTGGTTCTCCAGCCAGAGCGATGTTTTCTTAATAGTGTATATTTGATTATGTTGACTCCTTTATTCCTTCTCCAACACTACTCTTTCCACCTGGACCACACTTTCAGCTCCCATTCATTCATTCATTCAACTACATTCTAGGAGCTGAACATATAGTCCTGGCCTTACAGAATTTATATTTTAGTGGATAAGCAGACTCTAAATACACAAACAAATAGAATAATTTCAGATTCTGCTAAGTGCTGTGAGGGAAATAAATTAGGACACAGAGATAGAGAATAATTAGGAGGGGTATCCACTTTTAGATTAGAGAGTCAAGGAAGTCTTTCTCTCAAGGATTAGCTATGTGAAGATCTGGAAAAGAGGCAGGAAGGAGCTAGGGTGGAGGGAGCATAGTGAGGGAGAAAAAATAGTTGCAGATAAGGTTGGAGACGTAGGAGATGGTGAGAAGAAGTAAAAGTGGATGGTTTGGCATGCAGTCTGGAGATAGAGCTAAGAGAATTTGCTGGTGATTGGTAAAAGAAAAGTAGGAGTTAAAGATAATGCCTATATATTCAGCTTGATCATCAAATGAATGGTAGTCCTATAAATTGAGATGGAGAAGAGTAGGGAAGGAGCAGGTTTAGGGAGGTGGGGGGAAAATCAAGTTTTTCTTTTGGCTAGGGCAGGTTAAATTTACAGTATCTGGTAGACATCCAAGTGGCTGTATGAAGCAGGTTTGATGATTATATGAGTCTGGAACTCAAGGGAGAAGTCAGGGCTGTAGATATAAAGTTGAAAGTCATAGCATATAGATGGGGTTAAAATCTAGGAACTAAATAAAGTCACCTATAGAGAAAAAGATAGAGAAATGAAGAGGAGAGGGATAGAGTCCTGTGGCACTCTTAATAAAATCAGTTAATCTTCTTTAGGGATCTCTATCTGTTAGAGATAAAAAGAAAACCAAGAAAGTGTGGTATCTTGGATGTGAAGAAAGTACTCAAAGAATGAGGGAATGGGGGCTGGCCCAGCGGCGTAGTGGTTGGGTTTGCGTGCTCTGCTTCAGCAGCCTGGGGTTTGCAGGTTTGGATCCCAGGTGCGGACCTACATGCAGCTTGTCAGACCATGCTGTGGTGGCATTCCACATACAAAACAGAGGAAGATTGGCACAGATGTTAGCTCAGGGACAACCTTCCTCAGCTAAAAAGAAAAAAAAAAAAAAAAGAATGAGGGAATGGGAAGAAAATAAAGAAGAATTAGGTAGTGGGACAAATGCTACTCTGAATAGAGTAAGATGAGGACAGGGAACTGACCTCTAGATTTGGCAAAGTGGGCATTGTTGGGAACTTAGACAAGACTAGATTCTACAGACTGGTGGAGATAAAAGCCTGATAGCTATTGGTTAAAGTGCAAGTGGGAGAAGAAACAGTGGGTGTGGACTACACTTTCAAGGAGTTTTGTGATGTAGGGGAACAGAAATAGGGCAGTTGCAAACTGGGGTCAAGAGACTATTATTTTTAAGGTGGAAGTTACTACAGCATATTTTTATGTCAATGAGTGTATCCAAATGAGAGGGTGAAACAACATGTAGGACAGAAAAAGAGTAATTTCAGAATCCAAGTCTTTGTGTTCGGAAGATGATGGGAACCTTAAGTGGAGTGGTTAACCTTTAATAGGAGCAGGGATGATTCTATTGTGATCTAGGACAAGGTGCAGTATGGGCTCATCTGTTTGTAGATTCGGTACTAGGAAAATGAAATAAGAAGCCAGGTCATCAGCTTAGAAAAGATGAGGTATAAAATGGTTGTCAGGAGAATGAGAAAGTTAAAATACAAAGGAAGTATACTAGGATTGAGCAGCACTAATGGTCTGCTTGAAATTTATGATCGTAAATTTAATGTGGTATCTGTCTGCACAGTTATGTGTTTTTCTCCAGCAACATTCAGTAATTTGGATGGTGGCACAAAGCAGTTGGAGAGTTGAGTGTAGCTTTTGGGATTTTGACAAGAAAATACAATAGAGTAGCAAGGGGCAAAGAAGTTAAAGGTATGATTAAAGTGATAGAGCCCAGAATCTGAGTAGGTAAGGAGGGATATGAGCATGTGAAGGAGGAGGTGGGAGTATAGCAAAAAGTGGTGGAATCAATGAATTGGAAGTCTGAATGAGATTTAAAAATTTGAGAGAGAGGAGACTAGAAGAAGTAGGCTCTAAAGTTAGAAGTGGTAGTTAGCAAATGGGATGTTTAAAATCAAAATTTTGGAAGTAATGTGGTTATTGGTGATGACAAAGTTGGTCAATGTTTCTCATACTTTTTGGACTAGACCCAGTAAATAATAAAATTTTCAAAACAACTTAGTATGCCCATAGACATGTGTGTGATATGTAACTGAAAGAAATTTTCATGAAACCATGTTTACCTTACTTAATATAATAAACTGATGTTTTTAAATCTATTTTATGTTACTTAAAAAAAAACCTGGTTATAACTCATTAAATCAAATCAAAATTCACTGATTTTTGTGATTACTAATGGACCGAAACTTACAGTTTGAAAACACAGCTCTAACGACTATGGGAATGGGTAATTGAGGCAAGGTGGAGGAACAGGTTGTTGGAAATGTAGAATTCAGACACCCAAGAGTCCAGAGGGTCGGATAGATTATCTGTCTAGCTGTGGAAGCCACCAAGGATGACAGGAGTAATGGCGTAGTGGAAGACAGTGAAATAGATGCTAACTTAGTCCATGAATGAGTGCGGTGCCAAGATGGTAGGTGCCCGACAATATCAAGTAGGGGAAGGGGTGACACAGTCTGGTGGTGCTTTGTGCTTCTAAGAGGTCATAGGTTTTAAGGAACTAGAAAGGACACAGCAACCCCAGCTCCTAGAATGTGGGGGGGGATAAGAAAAAAGAGCCTCTGTTTTGAAGGCTTTGGGGGAAGGTGTGGACTTGGACTATAGCCTGGTTTCACTGTCAGCAAAAAGGTGAAGAGAAAGTTGAGAGACGGGATTGTGGACGTGGAGAATTTTGTTCCTGTGGGATTGTTTTAAGTTTGGGCCTTCGGTAGGGCCCAGGGAAAAGCTATGGGAGGTCAGAGATGGCTGGGAGATGGGATCAAATTAAAATGACTTGGGAGGCTTGGACTGAGATTAACATGAATCTGATTTGTCTTGATGGTAGGGAAAAGTGGGTGGTCGGTCCATATGAGCCTTCTTCACAGGCTTGGTTTCTTAGCTATTTTGTGGAGGTGAGCTCGTGGTGTTTCAGTTGAGGAAGAGCGACCTCACTGGGAGCAAAGCATTTCCAGGGACTTCCCTTCAATCCTAAGGTAGCTGATGCAGCAATAGGAGGGGTTTGGGGGCTGTGGGGAGAGGCAGTTTTACTGAGCCCCTTGAACTCACCATGCTCCTTCCTGCAACAGGACCTTTGCACATTCCTCACTCTGTGACGGGAAACTAGCTAACTGTTCGTCTTCTCTCAGATCTCTGCACAAGCCTCACATCCTCAGGAAAACCTTCCCTGCCTCCCTAGCCTCCCTGACCAGGCTCTCACAGTACCTTGCGCTTCACCTTTAAATCTGTTGATCCGTATGTGACAGTTGCAGTTTTATACCTGTCTGTGGGATTGTTTTTATCAGATTTGACTTCTTTACTAGACTAAGCTCCATACAAAGGAGACTATACCTGCTTTTGTTCACTGTTGTATCTCAGGCACAGTGTATGGCATATAGTAGGTGCTCAGCGACGATAAATTGGATGAATTCACAAAATCAGAGCTAGCAGATGCTGATGACCAAAAAAAAGTAGGGGGGGAGCAGGGGAGGCGATACAAGGGGAGCTAAAGAGAACCAACGGGAGACATGGTCGAAGTTGCGAGGAACATGTCTTGCTGCAGTTAGTGGGGCTCCTTTTGAAGGTCTACCACTCAATCCTCATGCACATGACCTCGCTGATCTTGAGGAGGCAATACTGTGAACCTCAGGTCTGGAAGCAAGGAACTATTTAAAGACTACATTAATTGCAACGGTAATCACCAGAGGGGTATGAGTTGGAAATTTGGGGAGCCAACAAAAATCTGGAGGCAACTTCAAAGATAGCTCCTGCGAGAACCTAGTCCTGACTAAGGAAATAACAACTGTTCCAGTTCTGTAAGTGTCTGAGGGAGCGGGGTGGATGCAGGAGAGAAGAGGTGCTTTTGGGGTGGAATGGGGAGGAGAGGATGAGAGAAGAGGATGGAAAGTAACATTGCAACAGTTTGAAGCAGGGAAGCAACTGGCCATATTTGGAGTAGATTCAGGAACGGGGCTCTTTGGGGAATGTGGCCATGCCAAAGATTGTTATTTGGGAAAGGCAGAGTTAGTCGGAGTTGGAGCAAACGACTTAACTAGCTGGGATGGGGGGCTCTGTCCCAACTGAGTAGGGCTTGGAGTCTAGAGGTTGGGATGCCAAAGGTTTCATGGAAACTGTGCTCTTCCCTTATGCTACCATGTGTCACCCAAGACAAAGTAAGACAGTAATACAGAGTTAGGTCATCTTGGACAAAAGTCACTAACAAAGTTGAAGGATTACCTCTAAGGAAGATTTGATTCTGTTTCCATTTTAATTTTGTACCAGTCAGGAACACGATTACATTCCTTTCACACCTACCCCCTCTGTGCATTTATGGAGCATATTCTCCATCTATTTTATTAAGACCTGTGTATAAGAAGTGATTTTTTTTTCCTTACTGGATCATCATTCCGTAGCAGAGTAGGACACCTCTGAGCAATCACTGAGTTTCATCTTTCTGTTGCAGAGGAATTCAGTGACTCACCTCTTGTAACTGCATTAACTCCTTCAGGCCAAGAGGCCAATAGCCAGCATTTTGGAGGAAGTAATTTACTAAATGGTGCCCTTGTGGGCAGAAAGCCTTAACACACATAAAAGAAAGAAACCACGGATTCCATTTCTCCTCTTCAGAGTGTTGGAAACAATTAGGATTAATTACGTGTTTCGTGTGAAAGTGATGATATGAATTTCAATGGCATATAGGAAAAGGAATAAGCCTATTTTTTAAGAGAAATAGTTCCGGTTTAGGTCCGTTATAGCTACACAATGTCATTATGAAATATGAGAAGGAGATAACTAAATTATTCATGTTATAATTTTATTTGTATTCTATTCTTTATTTTTCCTGTAAAATGTCCCTATTTGTTATTAAAACTAGCATGTTTTGTAAAGAGATTTATGTTAATTACACAGAAAGATGCCTTAGTCAGAATAGCAAATTCTATAGTGAATTTTATGGTTTTTTATGTGTGATCTCTATAGTATAGAATATTTCTTGCTAATGGTTCATGCCATCTATATATCTAGTGATCTTTGAACCACATGTTCATTATTATGGTTATAACTGTACCCAAATGGCAACATATTATTAAAATATGAGGCACTGATTGAAGAAACTAGATATAATTATGCTTGTAAAGGAAAACAAACCTAGGAGTTTTTAGAAGACAAAATAATACCTTTAAAAATGTTATACTCTGAGTAAACACATTATGACAGATGACAAATGCCAGGTTTTCAAACAAAGAGGGAGAGAGACTGAACACCGTGTCAAAAGCCATCTCAAAAAAGTTGCTTACTTCAAAAAACTGTACTTCTTTTTTTAATAGGAAGTTTCTTAGAATTTCATTTTGGTAGGCTTGAAATTTTTTATTATCCAGATGAATACATATAAAATCATTTTTATTTCAGCAAACTGTGAAGTCCTACCAATAGGTAGGGTCATTGCTAACTTTGTGCTATTAACCTTTGGCCCAGTAGGTCTATTTCTGTGTCATGAGGCTAGGAGCCTGAAAAAATAATGAAAACTAGTCCCTGTCACCTGCTGAAATAATTCCATTATCATATTAGTCCTACAAGTTCAGGGGGGAACACAGGTATCAAAAACTCTCATATCAAGATGCAGAAGTATCATGTCTCCCAACAGAGACTTGGAGGGCTGATCTTAAGCTAGATGCCCTGCAGACTGACCAAGAGTTGATCATTGGTCTATTGAACTTCTCTCTGGAAGGGGATATATTCGTTATTGGTTAGGACTAGTAGACAATTTATATTTGTAGTATGTTTTTAATGTAATAATAGCTTAATAACACTGCCAAGTGTTTGGAAAGTGTGTTTACTTTGGTTCCAACTATAAGGAATATATTTTTTAGCACAGTAACCATTTTTCCTAAATACATTTTTTATCAAAAAAATTATTTATTTATGAAAATGTGTTTTGGGATTGCATGAACGTTTAGATGTTTGTACTGGTAATTCTTTTAACACTAGTACTCCTTTTAGGGCTCAGTTCTGAAAGCTTTCCTGAGAAAGGAAAATAGTTCTTATAGGAGGAAACAAGAAAGCTGGTAATGAATCAAGTATTAGGGGAAAGGAGTGGCAATGGCTAAGGTCAGAAAAAAAGAAGCAGCAGAGAGAATTGAACAAGATTACAAAAAAGAGAACAGTGGTATATGAGATAGGAAATAAAGAAGCGAAAACTATCTCAGAAGAGAAGGAAACATAAGACCCAGAAAAAAAATGTATATATCATAAGAAGTTACCACCCTGACAACACGATTCCCATTAATCTCTACCAGAACACCTTTCTTCGGGTCTGTCCGGTCATTCATAAGCAGACAAGGCTGAGCTATCTGCCTTAAACCCTAAGGTATCACAACATCATCTTTTGTGGCTGAGATGCTGGAAGTAAATCCTGGAAACCTGGGAGGAGGTGCAAACATTAAGAGATTATAAGAAAACTTATGCCATTTACCATCTATTAAACTCAGTTTCTCCTTTGGAAGAATATCTTATACAAAAAAAGCAAAAAATATGAAAGAAAAGCCAAAAATTAACAAATTACAGGATTTATACATAAAAACAATTTAAGAGTATGATACCATGGCATTTTATCATAACACAAAAATCTGTAGGCTGAACTGTTAGCATATCGTGCTGCCCTAGTTATTGTTTACCTAGATTGCTAACCAATGTTTAATATATTTTTCCTACTTATTGTTGATTGTCTGGTTATAGGCATGTAGGTTTTTATTTTGAATTACTATCAAATTGTAAAGACGAAAAAAAAATGCAGTGAGTTCATTTTCTGTAATGCTCCTGCTTTCACTTCTTTGAGGATTAGGTTAATTTTCTGCTAATGGTTTTGGAGCATAGTCCCTTATTGCACGTGAGTAACTTGCATAACTTACATGGTAGACATTGTTTCTTTTAGACAAAATTGACTTGTGCTGGAAACTTTTACTGTTAACTACGTGAGAATGGGATGTTTAATTATTTATTTTGCCTTCTAAAATCCATTGTAATTAATTAGTTGGGATTATATGTGCAGCCAAAATAAAAATGTATCACATAAACCAAAAGTGAAAAACACCCTAAGCTTCTAATAACAAACACTATGGCATGCACAAAGGGCGGATGCATTAAGCGGCGGAGGGAGGGACGGAAGTGGATAATTATTTGTAGCAATGCTTTTACTGTTGTTCGAATGAGACAGACTAACAGTGGCAGCAGTCATTTTGCTGAATCAAAGTCCATGTTAGTCGCATTATACACTGCCACAAAAGGTTGTTAAGGCTGGTATTAGCATGTACCACTGAGGACATTGGAAGGACTCGATCTGTCACACTAAATCGCCTTCTTGCCCTCAACCATTGAAGTCTCCAGCTCCTCTGACATGTTCTTTCATTAATGGCCTGGCCTTGACAACTGATCCTAATTGCCTCTGAACCGCACTTCATGTATTATTGGTGTCTGCCTGCCCTGGTTCATGTCAACAAGCCACAGCATGCACAGGGTGTGCCCAGTGCCTTTGCTGAAGCCATGCTCACATTGTCGTATTCCTCTGAGGGGCTTGGGTCTCCCTGGGAGTAAAGTAGAAAGCTAAAGATCTTCCTGCTGCTTCTTAGTAATACTTTAATGTCGATTTGTGCTGTGTACTTATGAAACTTATATAAGGACTCACTAAAACATTAAACCAATTATGCAACGTTCCATTAAAGCACAGATGTAAATGCAGACTTAAATTTGCCCTTATTTTAGTAACTAGAAAAATGTGTATTTATTGTAAAATCCTTTTTCAACTTTAGATAGTGTGGTTTACATTCCTTTTTCCTTGATTATGCATAACAATAACAATTTGATGTATAATAATGGCCAAAAAAAGGTCTATGATATTTGTAGTTTCCAGGTAGAAGTATGCATTAGACCAGAATTCCCCAAAAGAAAATTATTGAAGGTTTGAATAGGAAATTTTACTCCTAACACTTCTCAACAGATTTATATTTATTGCACTTTCTAGAAGTAGTTAAAATAATCAATTTTAGTGCATTACATATATTTAAAAGTCTTTATTTTGTTCTGACATTTCAGAAGACACTCATAAAGGGCAAAACCGTTTAGATGTATTTTAATTTACTATGCTATAAGGTGAGCTATTTGCTTCCAGAAAAATATTTTAAAATCTAAAACATAACATTAGAAATGTTCAAAATATTTACCTCTTTTTTTTTTCAGAAGTGTCTCTGAGGTTTAAAATTTACCTTATTCCTGTGACAATTTTTTACAATCACATCTCCGAACAATAATAGGAGATTCTTTCAATCTTTTCATCCTTTTTTATTTATTGAAGGCAGTTTTTATGCTGAGCCTTTTAAGCATGCAAGTTCTACCCGTGATCATAAAAAATAAATCATAGAAGCTCTTCGGTGCTAGGTATCATTTAGCCTAATCTAGACAGTGACATTTGGGCCACTAACAGCGTAATCATGGTTATTGCTACAAATTGCTCCATGTTTGAGTTTTAATGTTATAAGTAAATTATGCCACCAGATAAAATATATGTTTCTTTGGGAATTAAACATGTTTATTTCAGCAATGTGGCCATGGAATATCATGTCGACTTGAGGCTTCTTTCATGTGGTAATACTGCCACCTTCTGAAGCACAGAAGGATTGTCCTCAAGGTTAGCAGGCTTACTCTTAAGATTTCTCACTGGCCATTTGCAGTGATCCAGCAGGAAAAAAACTTCCAATCGAAAGCATTCAAGTCTAGAAACTGTCTGGTTTTTATCATATAAATGATACATTTGATCTTAACTCTTCATTTTAAATAGCTAAAAATGAATAAGGGTATCCAACAGTCAATAGAAATACTATTTACTCTTTGCATTTTACGACCAAATGCCTTTTATTTTCAGGACTTGAGAACTATCTTGATTGGTGTTGTGTAGCTTCCTGTCAGACAGCTCAATTGATGTAAAGTTAATTCTGCTATGGAAGTTACACAGCAAGAGCAGTTGCCTGGCAGAAGTGGGGCAGTGGTGGCCACAGCTGGGGTTGTGAGAAGGGGATGGCAAATGTTGTTTTCCTATCATTCAATCAGACAGTATGCCCTTCAGCAGAACAGCAAGGCCTCCTGATTCTTTAGAATTAGTGAGATTAGCATGAAGCACATAATGCAGGATGATGGAATTTGTCATAATTTGCCTTGTCCTGGAAAAATGTGGGTTGATAGAGCGACGTGTCTTAGAGCATGTCATATCCCACGGGCAGGTCACAGAGGAAGCTTGGCAGAAATAATTTTGTGATATGTGCATCAATTGCAAATGCTTCATAAACGATTTGTCAAAATAAAATAAAATAAATAGGAAGAGGTTAGGAAGGTAGAGAAAGTAGGGTCATTGAGGAATCATCTCGAAGAATTAGATATGCCGTCCTCCAGTATTGCATTTACAGTGAGTAGATGAAAATACATAGAATGAATGACTTCATTCTCCTTTTGGTTATAAATTCCCAAAACCTTACTGTCTTTCCTTTCTCCATGGTCTATGAGTCAAATCTTGGAAAATACGTATGTGTTTCTACAAAGTTTATTTAGGGAAGCCCCCTACAGAAATTATCAAATACAGCCACATTAGGAAAGATTTTCTGAGAGATTGCTTCTGACCTTGATAATGTTCCCAAACTGCAGATAAGAAAGGATAATCGGCATGTAGTTGACAAAAGGAACATGACAGTGTTACTTATCTGCAGCAGCATTTCTGGAAATGGGCATGTAGAATTCAGACAGGCAAGGAGAGCATGCTATTTAGCATTGCATTGCAAGAACGAGGGGTCCGATGTCAGGAATTGGCCATGGTTTATTTATGGTGCACCTGACAATGACACCACTCTCTTTGATATTTAGAAATTTCTTCTACCCGAGAAAATTATGACTGGTTTTTTGCAAGTTGTGTTATTTATCATTTCATTATCTGCTTCTACTTCACAAAGATATTTTGCAATGCCTCCTTTATTTGTCTTTCTTTATACATTTCAAACAAAAGATTAATGCTGGCAGTTTGGTAACACTGATCCTTTATGACAGTTGAACGTTTGTGGGTTGAGGGTTTAATAAGAAAAAAATTTTTAAGTAAGGAGTTTAAGGAAAATGCAAAAAATAATCACTTGTGAGGATCAGGCTTATAATAAAAATATTTCTTTTTACTACAGTGTCAGATAGGAAGAATAGTCATTTTCTCAGATGGTTATAATTGTAGAATTAGGTTTTATGAAAACTAAAATTACCTTAGGGCACAGCTCAGCATGAATAAATCTTTCAACACCCAGTATCTGGAAACATGATACACATGAAACTAATAATGCTCTATAATTACAAGTAGATCAAGAAGAACTGTGTGAAGTTTTTAAAAAGTATTATTTATAGAGTTCTATAACATGAAAGTGACTCCGAATAATTGTTAGTTCAGACCATTTTAAATCATTTGTTGTTTGTAAAATAATAGCCCTCTATATAAACCTCATAGGTTTTAAAACTTGCCCTCCTGTCTGTATTCTTCAAAACTGATTGCTTTCAAACAAACTGTTTCACTAATCAG